GTTTGAATCTTCATAAATGGTTGTGAGAAGCCGCAAAAGATCATGTCTTACTGATTAAAGAAAAGTCAAGTGAAGTCATCTATTTTTTTGCATGCCATGTTACTTACTAGCAATCTGTTGCCATGCCCTCAACCAAAATTAGAACAACATAGAATGTTGCTTGGTGAGAAAGTTCTTTTCTATTCCCTATTTGCTTTCAGATCTCAAGCTCGGGAAAAACGCTAAACACTGAAAAATAAGAATAAGAATAAATAACTTCAAGTAAAACTAGGGCGCGAGAAATACGCTGTCTAGGTCATAATGATTCTCTTTCAGCCTTCAGGAATAAATATAAAGAAGGAAAAGACAGCAAGTGAATAGAGATGAAATCATGTTGATAAGTACTTCGCCTCCTTCCTCTGGTAAAATGGCGGCAAGGCGGCCTTGAAGAGAAAATCAGGTTAGCCAAGTTTATTCATTCGCATACTAAAACAAATATAATGTGCATTTTCATGCTTATAAAATTGCAATATATCTATATTGACTTCATTACACAATAACCCAGCCATAAAAAAGCTTTGTTGAACTTGATAAAATTCACTTCATTTTATTTATCTCTCTGTAATGCTTCTCCCGTTTTCTAGATAGATGTGCGTTAATTCATTAAAAAAGATTTCTATCTTATACGCATGTAATATCATTCCCAAAATACTTGACACTTTTAAATAATTATCTTATTAGAAATCTTTAAATAAATGAATAAAATAAAAACGGGGTAAGGAGCGGAAAAGAAAGAAAGAAAGAAAGAAAGAAAGAAAAGAAAGGACATAAAGAAAGAAGGGAAAGAGAGGAAATAAAGAAAAGAAAAGAAAAGAAAGAAACAAACAAACAAACTAAAAAGAAAAGTAAACCGTAATCTTGAGTGCGATTATTGGGAAACTAAAGCACAACTTTTTACCACTCATTTTTCAGGATTCCACCTTGTGTAATAGAGACCAGGGAGATCTTCACGTATAAATTGTTTGGCATTTAATGCCATTAATTTTATTACTTTTGCCGGCAAAGTGGGTCATCAGTGCCTCGGGGAGTCATTACAGCACGAGTGATATTTTTTTTTTTTTTTACGTCAAGGTTGTCGCCTCCAGCCTACCACGCTGTACAAAGCGTTCTTTAGTTTCTCTTTGAATTATGACCTGGCTGTCATGAAATTATTATAAGAGGAATTACGAAAAAGTTCTCCGCCCAACCACCAAGGCTAAACATTTAATGTTTAAACATTTGTTCAAACTTTGGGAAATGGGCAAGACGTTTTCAGCACCATTTGAACCACCTGTATCTATTTTAAGCAAAGGACAAATGTTGCTAAAGAAATGTCCAATGGATTCGTTTGTCTACAACTCGTTGAAAACAATCATCTGAAAAGATAGGTCAATCATTAACATCAATAAAATAGAGAAGGCAACAGAAACAGGTTAGTTTTACAAAAACTCAACATGAAACATGTCAAAATCTAATGGAATAATAATAATAATAATAATAATAATAATAATAATAATAATAATGATAATAATAATAATAATGGCGTTGACTGATTTTCAGTAAGACGAAATCTAACTACATCTTTGCTATGGATAAGAAACAGCCTATTAATCGCCTTTTATTCATGGATGATATTAAGTTATATGTCACCAACAATGACCAGTCAGACTCCTTGATAAAAAACCTTAGGATATGCTTCATGAATATCAGGATGTCATCTGTGGGGGGAAACTCTGGATGGCACAAAGATAAAACTTTCCATTGGGAAATCCATAGTGATAGATAGATAGATAGATAGATAGATAGATAGATAGATAGATAGATAGATAGATAGATAGATAGATAGATAATGTACACCCGTGAGTTCTATAGATGGACAAGACTCGATGACAAAATGAAATCACAGATACGAGTATATTTGTCTTGTAAGGAAGTTTTGAAGATCTAAGCTGAAGGGTGGGTATCAATGCTTGGATAGTTGGAGTTTTTAAGTAATTTTCAGGCAATGTTGAGCGGAGTAAAAAAAGAACTGGCAAACTTTGAGTGAAAGACAATAAAGATAATCACCTTGAACTGTGGTGCATCCACCCTAGGAGTAATGTGTCTATGCTTTATCTACCTGGAAAGAACAGTGTGAAAGAGGTTTAGTATGGGTTGAAAAGTGCATGACATCAGAATGTAATTCCTTGCATAAGTACTTATAGAACAGCCAGAAATGGATACTAAAAGGTGCGCTGCATAAAAAGGTAGAAACAGAAAGCTTGTCAGATTATCAGAAGAAAATGATGAGAAAATCGAGACACAGAAGGGAAAAGCCTATCGCGGAACATTTTTTAGAACTAACTCAAGATGTAGGTGATCCGGAATCATGGAGGTGTCTAAGGAATCGGTTCTTGAAGAGCGAAACCAAAAACTGTAGCGTAAGTGTAGGCTTTAAGAACTAATTCTATAGAGTACTCTATTGGTGAAACAGTTGATTGATCCTTGTGCAAGCTGTGTAGAACTGCTACTGAAAGTGTGCAACACATTGTCAGTTACTGCAGTCAGATGGTGTAAATAAACTCCAAACGACACCATGATAAAGTAACCCTCAGAATACACTAGAAACTATGCAGGAAGTATGGCCTTGACTGTACAGTGAAGTAGGTCAACCATTCGTCATCATCAGTAGCTGAGAAGCTTAAGTTGAATAACGATTACAAAGAAAATGTGTTATAGATATGTTAGTGATATCGGAAATGTATACCGATTAAATAATATAACAAGTAAATAAATATAAGCCTAGTTAAATTGAATTTAAAAACCGATAACTTAAAATGACTTTTATATCTATAATAATTGGAACACTGGATACTATCAAGAAAAGTTCAATCAGTAATCTTAACAATATCCTTGGTAGCCCCACTTTAAAAGAGATTTAAAAAGTAAGAGAGTATTATCAATGTAAAGAAATTATAAACGCTGACAGAAGGATTTAAAAAAAAAAAAAAGAAAGAAAGAAAAGAGAAACTGAATCCCTATTAATGGCTGTATACAAACTTATAGCAAAGATATAATACAACAAATATTGAAAAGAGAATTAACTGAAACTGAGACACCCAGAAAAGGCATGGCCCGTGGAACTAGAACATTTTACCCACGAGTGTTTGATTCAAAATTCCAACGTATATCACCTGAAGACGGCCGGAGCGTACAACGCAGTAACGTCGTGGCTATGAAAATAAAGGTGAGGACAACAGTTCAAACAATGTAAATAGTGTGAATATCAAATATTGAATGTAAACACTGGTGATATTGAGATGAACCCGTCAGTCATAATTAGGTACAGAAAGTTGTCACAGGAGTGCAACAACATCGACACCATAGGGTGAGAATACTGATCCAAATGAAATTGTGTAAACGGTTGGGATTTATCTGTAAATATCAATAGCATATATAGGAATCAGAATATATTTATTCCGTAAAACAAATCTCTGATATTTTGAAATTCAAACGGAACACTCAGTTGAAACCATCATGATCAAAGAAAAAATCATATACGAGATGCCGATATTGTGAAAATCTTTTCTATTATAACCGACTCACTTGGAGCAGCCCCGAAAAGCATGACAGAGATTTGAAGAATTGGAAACGTGTAAAGAATCGAAACCCTCCAAACAACATCTTGACTAAAATCTCTATGAATACAGAGAAGAGTGCTGGACGATTGACAAGATTTAATGTAAATTCAGACACCAGTTTCTACTGGTGTAAAAAAAACAAAGGGTATAAAAAATAATAGAATCGATATCAATCTGAAATAATAGCTCTAATGACCAAAACAGGTTTAAATAATTAAAACTAATATATTTCTGACCGAAATCTATTATAGAAGTTAAATCACGCTCATCTAAATACATTCAAAGGATATTAAAAGAATTGTTTTTTTATCGAAAAACAAGTATCGAGGTGTGGCTGGGAATTCAGAGTCACACTATTCGATAGTGGGAAATCAGAAATGAGAAACGGAAGAAGTATATCTTCCATTTTTACTTTTACAAATGTTAGTATCACGTGTTTAATACGAATGTTTAATACTTATAAACACATGGGCTTATAGTATCACGTGTTTAATACGAATGTTTAATACTTATAAACACATGGGCTTATATGATTTTGATGAATATATAATTTTCACATAATATACGAAGCATTTTCTGTCACGGTTACAACAGTTATTATTCACGTGATTTTTTTATTTTTATTTTACCTTCATTTTTAGAAACTCGAAGTTTGCAGACGAGATTTTAAAAACATTCGTACATATATTCTTTGACTTTCAAAGCTTACGGCCATATCACATTGAAACCAGTGGTGGACTGGATCTAAAAATATATATTACCAGGAGACTAAGCTTTATTTAATTTTATCACGAATGAATAGAATTTTCAAAAAAGGGTTAAGATTTAAATTTTGAAGGAAAAATATGTATTTTGTAATAATTACAGTGTAGAAGTACTGTACATATTACTGACAGTAGATGGAAATACAATTTTTTAATTTATTTTTTATTTATTTCTTTTAATTTTAATTAGTTGATATTTTTAAATAGTTTACTGTATTTACACATTAACAGATAGTTCAAAAGTACAATAGAGCATTGCATGCAATTCACTACATTAAATGTACTAATAACTGCCTCTGCATCCAATTCATCTAACAATTCCTTTTCAATAGATAGCAACATGCACGATTCAAATTTCTTTTCGGATACCGAGTTTTTTGGGGTTTTTTTGTAACCTTGTTTTTATGATCTTTAGCTTGAAAATATCCTTTCACGTTGGACTTGATTAACTGATAACGTGCAGATTATACAAAGTTCTTAACCCTTTTTTAAAACTAATCTTTGTTTCTTTAGTGTATTTTTAATTGATATGGGTGGGGCACTTCATCAGAGGACCACTTGCCATCGGGCAAGCTGACAGACTGGCCAGTCTGCAAGTCGTTGAAATACCGATTCCCGTACGATCACCGAAGTTAAGCAACGTAGAGCTCCGTCAATACCTATATGGGTGACCACTTGAGATCACCAGGTGTTGTAACCTTGGATGTGCAGCTGGTGTAATGGATAACGGCTTGGAATTTGTAATCGGGATGCCGACTTACAATTCCAGTGATGTTCGTTGTATTCTCATACTCGCAAATACCTTTGGGAAAGATATGAATCCATCTCTTCTCTTCCTAGCAATGGGTTATTTAGTAGGATTTCTTTCAGTAAATCAATATTATTTCCCAAAATTGTTAAAATCTAAAAATATATTCTGGCTTTAAATAACATGTAAAAAAGTTGAAAAGTCGTAATAAGGCAAATTAGTCAATCTTTGTCTTTCGAAGATGAAATAAGCTCAAAGTCAAGCCACGTACTGTGATTTTAAATAAATCAACATTAATAAATGAATACTAATATTTAGCTGAAGAAATAAGTATTTTGAGGTAGATATTCCCATAGTTTAGTTTAGTCTGACTCAAGTTTTCAGTAATGGTCTTCCCTGTGAGGATCGAACTATTTGTATTAAACATGACTGCAGTACATGTGGTAGCCCACCACACCCTTAATGGGTTAGGGAATTTGTGACTTGTAACGAGATAACTTAAAAGGTTTAACAATTGACTTATGATGACTGTAAATAGAAGTGAATTGGTGAAGTAAAGTAGAGCCTCATCAAGCACTTTTATAGCCATTCATTTCCACAAATACTGAACATATTTTTTACATCTCCGGGTTTTATATAACTGCTTCTGTTAGGGTTTTCATATATAAAAATTAAAATCTAATGACGGAATTTTCTAGACTGGTTGCCAACTCAAAACAAGAGATCCCAGTCTGCTTTACATTTAATCCATAGCTGCAGTAAATGGATCCATGTCTTTTCCAAGGGAATTAGTGCAAAGTAAACAAAACAGGATCGACCAGAATGTCAACTCAGTGGGCCAAGTTCAGTTTTCACATATGCAATATTCCTACTTCCTTGCAAATGGTATAAACTATTGAAATTTGAAAATGTCAGATAAGCTATCATCAGTAGTCTTCAGATAGTGACTTTTATATAATTTAATTAATTTAATTTAATTTAACAAAAGTTACAACCAGCTATTCTAAGTATCAATTTATTCATACGTAATCAATTAGTTCAAACCTAATTTTCAAGAGATGTTTTAATACACAAAACATTTACTTATACGATCAGTGCATACAATGTTTGTTTATTTGTTTTTAACTACACAGACGTTTTTACACATATTTCTATTTAACGGGCACTGGTAAATATGACATCAATACACCATGTGAATAAATATGAAACATTAAAAAAATGTTCTATAGGAAGATAGAGAAACTTCATTGGTTCCATTGTATGTTGAGCAGAACACATGACTTTGAGAATACCATTTAAACAATTATTCTCTCTTTTCGTGCTAAGCTTCTGAAACGTATCGCTCACAAATTCTCATTCTTACTTTCATTTGAATATATTTTATCTTTTTTTATTACCATCTCTAGGCCTGATAACGTGTATCAAGTAGTGAAGCAGCTTCCCACTTACACTTCAGCGAAGCTCTGATTACGCGTTGTTGGAAGCTGAAACTTATTGTTCTAGTATTAACGTTGAAGAATTGAATGGCATACGAGAAGGTATAATATCTGTCAGGCTATGATAAATACTATCTATCGATTTATATTCCTATCAACGTTTTATTCTGTAATTTGCTAATCTATTAATGTATCTCTTTCTGTTATTTACTATCACATTCTATTCCTATATCTGTATTTATTTTTGGTCTTATCTCATTTTCCATTTTAAACACGTAGATAATGTGTTTTTCGTATTTTCACACATTATATCAATAATTTTGATTAGTTTCCGTATCTTTTTGTTGATTTTATCAAAACTTTCTAAGCTGATTTATTTTCCGCTGCTTAAGGATTCTCCAAGAAATATTAGGCGTGCGAAAATGGTTCTCAACGACGTCTAATTTAAAATAATAATAATAATAATAATTATTATTATTATTATTATTATTATTATTATGAACTGAATGCACTGTAAGAAAAGTAATTGAAATACGTGTATACGTGTTTGCCAGCATTCACTGACATGATTATGATTGTGTCTCATTTAATAGGGGTCCATATCGTCAAGCGAAATGTATCTAGCCCATTCCGGTTGTTATCTGTGAAAATTTTTCTGCTATAGCAAATTGAAGGAATTGTCAATTCAAGGAAGAAACGTTGCCATGGGAAATTGGATGTATTCGCCCCAATCAATTAATAACACCCATATTCAAAACAAGTGAAAACAATATTACTTGATATTAATCTTTTCAAATAAATTTTTGCTGCAAATCACCGTCTAAATCGCTTCCGAATAGTTTGTTTTCTCGAGTTCCTTTTTGACATGCAAACATTGTTGTTAAGGAGCAGTTTTAGTAGCTAGTGGAACCGTGATGCCAACGATTCAATTCATGCAGTCGGGTCACCAGAGAAAAAAGCTCGTCAAAGCAGTTGCCATGAAAATATTTGTAAAAGTTAGAGAGGGAAGCCATGTCACGTCGATGAGAAAGTGACTAATGATTACATTACAGATATTTGTTTGGATTTTGTCAAGAAGCTCAAAATGAATAGCAGGAGCACCAGATCAGATATGGTAGCAGTATTCAGCGCAAGGAATTGTAAATGTTCAAGATGGACTCCGCCGAGAATATTTTTTTAGCTATATAGGGTTACAGGTTCGATTCCTGTCGGAGAAGCACATATTTTCTACGCAAATTCTCAAACATTTATGCCGGTATATGTAATTAATACTGTTTAATTAAAAAAAAAACAGACCATTTACTTAAATTGTATATGTATATATATATATATATATATATATATATATATATATATATATATATTAAAAATAAATAACAAAAATTAACGTATAAACAGAAAATATATTAAAATATATATGTATGCAGATCTAATTGCATGAACGTTTGTTATGACCAACTCTTTCTAGACTTAGAAAACCAGCAGTTTACATTATTATAATAGTTTTATACCAATTTTGAAGTATTCAAATAAATTAGTAAACAGGCCTTGCAAACGAATGATAATTCGATTCTCATAGTTTGTTCCACTAATATAGTCTAAGACTAACTGAATTTACCCTATTTATCTAACGGTGTAACTGTATATTAAGATTTGAACGCTATTACTAATTAAACAAGCGTATTGCAGAGAACATATTCCCTATGTCACACATTCAATGATATATATATATATATATATATATATATATATATATATATATATATATATATATATTGATTGATGTGAGTTTGTGACCCAGGGTTTCACGCCCTTGCGATCGTCAGACAAACACAATTTCAGTTCTCAGTAACACAACTTTCAAGTTTTTGTCCAAAGCTTTTATCCGCTGGGCCATGTGGTCTTAGGGATAAAAGCGTTGGTTGAAGGAATCCAATGAGTTGACCAAAAGAATTGTGAGTTCCATACCTGGCCACAGCAGAGGTGAACAAAAATTACGGAAGTTGAGTTACTGAAGGGAAATAACTGAAAGTGAGATATACAGAAAACGCATGGCACGTGGAACTAGAACAATCTACCCCAAAACAGAATACGAAAAGGGTTCTGTTCAAATTTACAACGTATATCATCTGAAGAAGGCCAGAGAGTACAACGCCCGAAACGGCGGGAATATGATAATAAAGATGAGGACAACAACCCGAACAATGTAAATAGTGTAGTTACAATACATGGTCTCGAAAATATAGACATACATTTGAAGATATTAGAAGCCCTACTATGCACTATTAAGAAAAGAAAAAAAACCCTACCCTAAATAGCAACTTTTCGAAAGAAACAAAGACGTCTTGGGTGTGTTTTGAAAAGAGGTAAAAACGTAACTGTGAGTGAAATTATTACCACTACTACTACTATTTTCACGCAACACAATATAGGAAACAGAAATATACTACCAATCTTTGTTATCACGAAAATTAACCAGGGTTGAAATTAGAAAGCGCTCGTGACAATAATGACTAGAGGAATTTCACCACAAATGTCATTGAAAAAAAAAAATGTGAGGACAAGAGAAAAAGTGACTAAAACGCAAAACATTCCTGATCTGTTATATTCAATGTATTGCGGCTTAAAGCGACCCTCCGATGTCTGCGCTACGTTTGTCATCGCTGAGAATAAACCGAAGATTTCGACGGATGAGATTACTACGAGTTTGAAAATTAATATCCCAACTGACTTTCGCCATTTGAAGGGATTTGGGTTCAAGAAAAACGGCCGATTTTGACAAATTAAAAAGGTGTCATTCTAAACGACAACAACGCAAGAGGGCATGTTGCAAAACAGACATTGCAGAAATGAAACATTTGAAATGGGAAACCCTCCAGAATCAAACCTATTTTCCTGATTTGACGCCTTCGAAGTTTCATTTGTTCAGGTGTCTACAGAACAATTTAAATGAAAAAAAAAAAAAGAAGATTTTCCAGTCAGTCGAAAACGGCCTCACAAGGTTATTGAACAAAAACACGAATTGTTTTTACAAAAACAGTTATAGCAAGCTTGTAGAATGGTGTAGGGCAATTAAAAACAATGGAGACTGTATTTGATTATTGGTTTTCTGGTAATATAAGTTTTGTTTTTAATTTCCGAATCTTTTGCAATAATCTAACATATATATATATATATATTGTCGCAAAAGTTTGTGTGTGAATGGAAATTTAAAAACAAAATTTACACATATATATATGTGTGTGTGTGTTTGTATTGTAAACACTCCTGTGTGTTTAAACATACGAGGATCCAACATTTCAAATTAGAACATAACTGATAGATTAACCATATATATATATATATATATATATATATATATATATATATATATATATATATATATATATATATTCTGATTATAGTGTTAAAATAGTGTTAAAGTCTTGCTTAGAAGAGGCAGTGATTTTCAGAAGAATTAATGAGAAAAAGTTGGGTACGGTGTCTCCAGAAAGTGTAAATTCAGTTTTATTT